AGTGGTTTCACACGCCATGTTGAATCCGTTTAGCACTCGGGCCGCGGGCATGACTTGGTCTTGTAGACCGAGTTGTTCTACAACCCCCGATCGAATGATGTTAGCCGAACTACCTGGATCAATTAACACACGTTTAACTTTAGTCTTATTCATGAGTACAGATATTATTAGTGCATCGTTATGGGGCTGTATGATTCCTTCTACGTCTTCGTCGTTGAATGACAAGGTTCCTTTCGGTATGTAATCTTTAACTGATTTAACATGGCGTCCCTTTTGGTAACGGACCCGGAAGGAGCCCCTATCTGGTCGTCTTCGACTCTAATCTTCGATTGATATCGATTATATACATCGGCCCATGTAATAGCTGGGTACTCAATCAAGTCTTTGCTTCAACTGTTGTGAAGCCACTGAGCTTCGTTCATTTAGTCCTTGAGTTAAAGCTTGAACGGCCCAATTAGATCCATTCGTTCCATTTGGAAGCGAGACATAAACTTTCTGAGCATCTCGTTACCTTTCTGCTTTACCTTGAAAATGTCCGACTTCCTAGTCTCAACCTTTATGGCTCCGGCATGTGCTTTTACAAAAGAATTTGCAAGTATGGAAAAACAATCGATAGAGTTAGGTGGTAAATTATGGTACCATATCATCGCTCCCTTTGACAGGGTCTCCCTGAATTTCTTTAGTAATACGGATTCGATCTCGTCATCCTCTAGATCATTCCCTTTAATCGCACACGTGTAAGAGGTGTCATGCTCGTTGGGATCGGTCGTTCCATTATACTTAAGAAGCTCGGGCATGAGGAACTTCTTGGGGATCGGTTTGGGAGCTGCACTCGGGGGGAAGGGTTTTTGTACGAACATTTTGGAATCCAAACCCTTCAATATTTTTGGTGCCCCCGGGATCTGATCAACCCTTGAGTTATAAGTTTCTACCTTCTTGTCGTTTGCTTCGATCTTCTTTTCCCCGATTCAACTCGCTTCATTAGTTCCTCGAGCATCTTCATAATTGTGGGATCGGTCCCCGATTCATTTCCGTCTGATTTCCTTGACACCGATTCGACCCTGTGAATAGCTTCCTGGGATGGCTTGCGCTCGATCCTGCTTGGTGCATGGTTCTGGTTTTGGAGTTGTGCTATCGCGGCTTGTTGAGCCTGCAACATCTCGAAGATCATTCGAAGACTGATTTCGTCTTCTTCGCCGCCATGTATGCTCTGAGCGGCCGATCGGACATCCCTGCGGACTCTATTCTCAGGATCGACGGCCAAATTTGCATTAATGGCTACATACGAGCTGACGTCGATCGGATCTATTGTCGGAACTCTATCGAGACCAATGAGGTACGCCGTTCCCTAGTGCTATGTTGTCATTTTCATCATGGTGATCGAAGTCATTGTCTACGTGTACGGGTGTTGCCTGAGTTCGACATGTTGATCCTAGAATCAAAGATACTCACAAGAACACGTATAAAATAGTGTGCGTTACGAGGGTTAGTACCAGGCAATCACTATTATCTTTGGCCCCACGGTGGGCGCCAAACTGTTTACCCGAAAAACGGATAACAATTGAATTTATATGTGGCTCTAAGGATACGTGATATAACTTGGTACAAACTGAGAAAACATATAAATTGATATTGAAATTGACTGCAGAAAGAAATAAATGCAAACCAAACGAATCGTATAGCTTTGGCCCTCGAGTCAAGTCACTCTCGAACCAAGTGAAGATTCTGCTAGTATATGAACAGAGTAACAAAATATTGAAAGCTGAAAGAAGACAGTGTATTGCTTAGTATTGCGTCAATATCCTTATTTATAAATGATCAGACCCCTTATATAGTAGGGGTGCCCTACTTTTGATATAATTCTAAATATAGTAAGGAATCTCATGATATATTAATTAATTGGTTTCTCCTTGATATGCGCCAGGATTTCCGCCGTGATTCTTGCCCAATTGCGGATATTCCGGCTTTCTGTTTTTTGGCTCGATAAGCTTTCTTCGGTCTTGCTCGCTCTCTATCTTGGACGATCTCGATTTTAATCGGTCTCTAGGTCACGAGCTCGACACTCAAACCTCGCATTATGGTTCGATATTACACGAGTTCGAATCTTGACCTATTATGTTCCAGTCTCGATTAGTCATACGAATGGCAAGCTCGATTTTGACCGTATATAGTATCCTAACAAGTACCATGTTTAGTTCATAAAAGATTAAGCAGTCCAACCATCTAAACTCGAGCGAGTTAAAATGAACATATAGTTGTTGTTAAATCAATTGGACAGCACTCAAGTTAACCCGTATATGAAAATATGTCAAATTGGACTTCATAGATAATCCAATTGACCAATTAGAAAACTGATATAGAAAAATAATTTTTTGGTTTGATTTATGAGATATAACCATGGTAAAGGATAAATAAAGTTTTTATTAAGTTTTGATCTGGTATAAGATGAATTATAACTTTATAAGAAATAAACAAACAAATGAAAAGATGGGTCGGAGTTAGACATAAGATTGTGCATAATTTGGTAAATATTGAATTATTGTACCGAAATCGAATATTTTGGTATTTGGTTTAATTTTTTTTTAAAACTTGGCATTAGGTATGGTATTCAGTATTCAAAAATAAAATACCATACCAAAATACATAATAAATTATACAAAACACATATTATTGATTATAACATAAATATTGATCAAGTTCTAAATTTTACTTTCCGTTATTTTTATAGTTTTCTTTAATCTTTACCACCTTTTTTCCCATGATATTTATCTTTCCCTCTTTTCTTTAATTGCTTACTTACGTTTCAACCTTTCTCGTGCATGGTTTAGCATTTTTGGTTTTCATCCTTTTTTTTCACTATATTATAATATTTTTATTTTCATATTTTTAATACCTTACTTGAGAATATTAGAGTCGATGGCCTTATGTATTAGTTAATATTCGAGTCAAACAAACCGAAATTACCAGACCGAATAAACTGCAACCGAAAGGAGAAAAGTCGAACCATACCGAATTTAATTAGTTATGGTGTTGGTATAGCATTTTGAGAAACTGAATACAGAAAATAAACTGAAATATCTAAATACCGTACCGTACCGATCGACGAACATCCCTAGTTAGACGGATGATTTGCACGAATGTCCCATTTTTAAGTTGCCATTTAGATTAAGGCTCTATTTTTAAATGTTGTGCAAGTAATAGTACATCCCCTAAAAAATTATCCTTTTAAACAATGTTCCTTTCGATTGGAGCTTGTCGCTACCTGGATCAATCAATCTATTCTAGTTCGCTTTGTATCATCCAATTTTAGGGAATTCATCGGATCATGAAGTTGCTTCACACCTGGCCATATCGAGGAAACGTTAGACTCCAGTCTAATGTTTGCTCATAAATTACTCAACCTTATAGACAAAAAATTAGTTTGGGCTCAAATGTTTGCAATAACTTATAAAATTTTAGACCGTGATCATCTTACATTTTCTCATAACATTTTCAATTTGCTAAAAAAGATCTTTAGACTATAGTGTAAAAGGTCTATAAGTTGCAAGACAAATCAAAAAAAGGATCATCTATAAACAGCTGTTCCAAAAAGGGATAACCGGCAAAAATTTGAAGAGTTAGGCTTATGGTCATTATTTACTTGTTCATTTATAGCTCAATCCAATTATCAATTGATTCAACCCGTTTTAACTAATCCAAATATTAATCCGACCCCATTTGACAGTCAAAATAGCACGGGCTAGTTATTTTTCGGATGGATAATCAAAAAATAGTCAGTGTTTACGAATGTCACTGAAAAATAACCATTGTTTTGCTGAAACACAAAATTCCAGCATATATGCGAGATTATGGAGCTTTTGCGTATAAACTTCCAGCATATTATGTTAGAACTCTAGGACACGAAAACTTTCAACATAATATTGCGGGATTTTGGAGTTTCTGCATATAAACTTCCAGCATATTTTTTTTTGGTTTCCCCACCCGATGTCCGGTACCCGCATTAGAGTCCGACTATATCCGGATTCGCGCCGGGTAGGGCCCCATTGGGGGTAGCGCTCCCAAGGATTTTTTCATACTCAGGGCTCGAACTCGAGACCTCTGGTTAAGGGAGGAGCAGCCCCATCCATTGCACCATATCCTTTGGTGGTAACTTCTAGCATATTATGATGGAACTCGAGCACATTGTAAAATTACATCATATTATGGTGAAAGCTCATATGTAAAAAATTCGAACTCCAGCATATTATGCTGGAATATTTCCGAATTTTTAACAGTATTTTTGTTCAGATTTTATCTTTACATGAAAAGTGACTAAATTTCGATTACTTTTGAAACCGTGGATATTTTTTAATTTCTGGCTATTTTTATATTTTCCCCATTTGACACCTGTATCTACTCTATTCCAATCACTCTTAATTAAATATACTCAACTTATATTTGTTCTTAATTTCTTAGGAACCATGAATATAATACCCTTAATTTATGTCATGCGAGGAGGCCAGTCAGGCCACTGGACATTAGGACGTGAGTCGGATTTTGTCTTCAAGTATTTAGATTTCAATTTAACCATTGAATATAACTGGAAAACGAATTGACATACACTACACTAGTTAAGGGAGCACATGTTGGTCTGTGCATGATCTAATTTTGGTTTTATCATTAATTAAGGAGATACCAAAATGAGAAAAGAAGATAGTGGGATCGGAAGTTGGAGAGTAGTGCCAAATGGAAATAAACACTCATTCACGTAATTACGGTTTTTAACCATTAACTTTTTCCTGATAAAGAGTTAGTTTATGACTTCTAAAAACTGAGTTAATATGCTAATGAAATTGAAAGCATGATGATTATTATTGGGACAAACCAGATTTTTATATAACCAAAAATCTCAGGCGACAAAATTGAATATAAACAGAAAAACGAATTGAGGTAACACTACACTAGTTAAGGGAGCACATGAGAAATGGTTTGAGTTTAGCTCAAAATATAATATAATTTCTCGTCTATAGTATCATTTATAGTAAAACTGCAGCTCACCGCCTGTGCAAATTAGCAGTGTACCATTCTGCAAAAAGTATCATAACAGAGAGAACACTATACGCTAAGCTAATCCACTACAGTAACCCTCTCTGTATTTTTGCTTTTGTTGTAGTGTGAGAGAGAGAGAGAGAGAGAGAGAGTTTGTGTCACTTTGCATTTCGTTCCTTTCCTTTTCTCCTTTTTGATGCAAACTCGACTAGGAGGTTTGAATCTAAACGCTATTTTTCTTCGATCTGTTTATATTTTTATTTGTATTCTCCGTCATTAGCAAATGTAGACTCTGAATGTTTTTTTTTCTTTTTCTTTTTTCTGTTTAGGTGTGTGAATGTTCACGTTGTATTTGTGGTTTATTATCATTTTTTCTGCTAGAAACTTCTATATGGTTCTATATATTTTTGAGAAATGTTCTACAGGGTTTTAGGATTATGAGGTTTTTTGATCGTTTTCATCTCGTACAGGGCTTATTTTGCTGCTGCCTGCATACTTCAGTATACACAGTTTAAAGTACTCTCTCTCTCTCTCTCTCTCTCTCTCTCTCTCTGAAACTTGTTCCTCTTCAGGTATGTATGCAATGTGTTGTTCTAATAGGGTTTATGGATCATTGTATTTTTATCATGAATGTGTATGAATGCTTACTTTGCGTATGGCTGTATTGTTCAACATTCTTAGATAAATGCGAAAAAAAATTGTACCGTTTTATGTTTCGAGATAAAAATGGTCTACAGAGCTTTTTGAATGATTGGATTTGGCTATCTTCCTCTGTGCATTTTCTAAGGTTTTTTTTCCTTCTTTTCTTTATTTCCTTTTGTTTCATTGTGTATAACTTTTTTCCCTTTGGCTGCAATGTTTATGCTTTTCTATTTTCTCCTTGTATTTCTTATTGCGTTGAGTATATTTTGTTGGTTGTATAGCTTTTATTGTCATTTTATTGATCATCTTTGTGTATAGGTAGTATTTTTTTTATGAATTGTCTGTTTCAATGAACCTGCATTCAGAGCACACCACAAAAATAGACATGATTGAATCCCTATTTCAAACTGAAAAAGAAACTTAAGAGGTGAACAAAGAATGTTTTTGCTTTGCACCCAAGACTTCTTGTGTCCTAATGGTCAATGAAGTGAGTTGAGAACCATGAGGTCTCAGGTTTAAATTCTAGCAGAGGCAAAAAATACTAGGTGATTTCTTCTCATCTGTCCAAGTCTTGGTGGATAGAGTTACGTGATACCTATTGCTGGTGGAAGGTAGCAGGTATCCTGTGTAATTCGTTGAGGTGTGTGCAAGCTGGCCCGGAACATCACTTTTATAAAGAAAAAAAGAATGTTTTTGCTTTGAATGGTTTGTTCTTTTGGAGTCTACTTTCGAGGGTTTCTACGGATTCTCCATGAATTTTGGGCCGTATGTGTAATGATTCTGTTTTTAGGAATTTTTGGCAGTCAACAATTGTTGGAATGTGCACTTCTATTTTCTTTTAGATGGTTGTCAGTTGTTAATGACAAGCATGTCTTCCCTTTTCAGGCCTTTGAAAAGTTAACATCACATTGTGATAAGTATCAAATGTTGCCCTTTCGAGAAGCAGAGGAAGACAGTAATCCTAATTTTAGTTGGGGTGTCAAGAAGGGAAAGGGTGCCCTTAACAAGGGCGTCCAATTTTACAAGTCATTCACTTATGAGGGGGTTGACTTCTCCTTATATGATTGTGTGTACATGTGTCGTCCTGATGAAGATGAGCCAGACATCGGTAAGGTTGTCAAGATATGGGAAACAGCCCAAAAGAAAAGGATGGTTAAAGTTGTATGGTTTTTCCGTCCCATCGAGGTAACTCATTGGTTGTGTAATATCAAGCTGCTTGACAATGAGTTACTCTTGGCTTCAGGAGAAGGCATAGGGCTTTCAAATTGTAATCGTGTGGTAATTGTTTCGCTCATCCTTTTTTCAAAATATATTTTAAATATAATCTGTTTTCAGATGTTATGGCATGACCTCTTTGAGATTTTATTGCAGGAAGCCATCACTGGTAAATGCAATGTTGTCTGCATATCAACTGATAGGAGGAACCCTCAGCCAAAAAATGAAGATTTGGACACAGCTGACTTTGTCTTTTATCGCACCTTTGATGTCAGAACTCGCGAGATATCTGAGGAATTTCCAAATTCAATAGCGCAAATTGAAGGTAGTAACTATAATTCTGTTGCTTGGTTTCATTCAGTTCTACAGCATTGTGCATTCATGGTTGGATGAAACAGCATTTTAGATGCTTGAACCTAGAACTTATCCATTTAGTAGTGTTCCTGCTTCTTAGATTGTTGTGTCATACATTTGGGTTTATTTCTATAGAACTATTTTAACATATGATACTATCTTTCAGAATTTTGTTTTCTCAAACTTCTGTGTAACTTATTCGAAGACGATTGTTTAACTTTCTGGGAACCTCAGTTTTATAGTTGCTTTAGATTATGTTATACGTTCGAGGACATGGTCTGAATGAAGAAATGAAACGAGTACAAGGAGAGAGTTACCAACATACCATAAAGAATTTCTCACTACATTTCTGTTAAAAGGGGTAGGACTCTAATATAACTGACTCAGGCACTCATTGGCTTTTCTTTGTTCTCCCCCATGAACATTCGTGTTTCAGGAAGTTTTCATCTCTTGATATCTTTTTTCGTTTGTTAGGACGAAAGAATACTGGACAGAAAAGATGATTTGTGCAATAGATAGCAGAGCTTCTTAATATCCCACTTCACTCCAGTGGTTTTTATCAAATTGTGGCATGTGAATACAGTATTGCTAGCATTCAGGTTGCATCTTATGTAGAGGTGGGAAATGGGAAGAATAGCAACAGATGATGATGGGTTCTTGGTGCATTCCCATTCATAGACATTTGGTTTTAGCCTATTTTTTGTCACCCATTCACGCATTAGTGCTGCCTTTAATCTGATGCATATCTGGATGAGTTGGTTTTCCTAGGACTCTCTTAAGCTGTATGACCTTCTGATGTGGTATTTCTTCAATATTCAAAAAATTTAGAGCAAGGTCATATTTCTTTCAGTTTTTGCCTTGCACTCTGGCTGCTTTTAAGTCATGGTTCTAGTGCTTGCATTTAAGGAGCTCTAGTGATGGACATAGTGGTATAAGTTCCTTACAAGTTTTTATTGGGCAGAATAGTTCGGGATCCCCTGAACTTGACAACTTTTGTTTAGTTCCCCTTAAACTTCACGTGGTCTTTAGTACCCCTGAACTTGGCAATTTCATAGCCTCGACCCCTTGGACGCTGACAATCCATGGGAGTGTGACACACGCGTTGCCACATGGATGTTTTTGTCCATGTGGCATTTTTACTATAATATATATTTTTTTATCTTTTTTAAGTCCACCAACTATCTAAATCATTTTTTTTCGTGCCAAAATTTGTAAAAAAAAAACTTGAAACAACGTTATTTTAACTATAGTTTTTATTTGACTAAAGATAATAATATTTTAATCAAGTTACTTTTACATATTTGGTTGGAAAAAAAGGAATACATAGTTTAAAAAAAGTAAATAGTTTAGCTAAAAATAGTAAAATTCGGACAAAATATTTGCGAATTTGACTCGAAAAAAAAATGCATAATTTAAATTAATAGTTATTGCATGAAAATAAAAATAAAAATACACAATATTTTTTTCTTTTTGTAGAAAATACACAGTTTGAACTTCATTATTTTGGCTAAAATAAATGGAGTTTCAACTAACTTTTGTAGATTTGGACCGAAAAAAAAGATAAGAAATACATAGTTGAAACATATATTCATTGTATCTAAAAAAACACAATTGGGACAAAATATTTATTAAGAAGAAACAACAAGAAATACAATTGAAACAAATATATCATTATATTTGATTATATGGCAATTAATATTTAAAAAATATCCTACTTGGAAGCTGATTTTTTATTTATTTTTCTTCCCTCTCACGCGCCTAAAAGAGAGTGTATTCACGTTCTTTGCCACATCAACATCTAGGGGGTCAAGACTATCAAATTTCCATGTTAAGGTGGGTATTAAAGACTACGTAAAGTTTAAGGGGAACTAAACAAAAGTTGTCAAGTTCGGGGTATCGAACTATTCTGCCTTTTTATTGTGCTGAAGGTTTCCTTTGAATGAAGGCGCTGGATAAATTACTAGCCAAATAACTGTAGTGTTGGACATATCTAATGAGATGCATGTCTATGATATTTTCGATGTTTCATGGTGCGCATTTTAGTTAGCTTTAATCCAAAACAAGTTCTGTAAAATTATCCTCAGACTCTTGTTTACTTAATAAAGAAGAAACATCTTCCAGTGACTCGATGTGAGTGATTGTTGTGATTTGTGAGTTGTCACTTGTCAGCATAAGGAAAGTGATGGTGTTAGCCGAAGTGGACTTGTGCTCTTGTTGTTCAGTATCACACTACTTGCTTCGCCAGATAAGTGAAGTGTATGATGTAAATATTTTTGGGAAGAACCTAAATATCTATTGCTTTTTTGCTTAGCCTACTTGTATGAATGAAGGCTTATATTTTAAAGAAAGTAGTCTCTGAGCTCTTGATAAGTTTGTGATAAAATCTGTTTCTTCAGTTTTCACATTCTTCCTCTGAGGCATTTAGATATTGAAAATCAATGATTGAATCATTACCTCACTCCTGCTGCAGTGGAGCACTACTTCAATAAGGAGACAGATCAGAAGCAGCCTCTTCATCATGGAGGAAAAGGAAGTCTTGAAAAGCCACAATCATCATCTTCATTTGTAGGAACAACAACTAAAACAGTGGTGAAAGATGGCCAGTCAGGAAGAAACACTCGTAAGTACTTGTAGTATGTGGGGTAAATTTTTAGTGGTAATGTCCAATGACCCGTGGTTATTTTCATTTTAACTGTTAATCTGGTCATTCCCAGAACTGAAGAAAGCCACCAGTAGTTCATGGGAAAGACAGGGAAATATTTCTGTGACAAACGGCACTGTTGCCGGAACTGAAGTAAAGTATTCTTGTTGTATTTCTCCTACTAGCTTATCTGATTCTCATGCTTTGAAGAAGAAGAAGCTTCTAGACTCTTCAGGTTTCTTTCTTACCTGTAACAAGCTCGTAGAATCAGACGGCAAGTATTATGGATGTTGACTGTTTGGGGATGATGCTGCAGGTACTGCACCGTTTGAACAACATAAGGTCATGCAATCTAAGAGTCAGGTGACAAAAGTGGTAGAAAAAGGTGATTAATCAGAAAGATAATGGGTTCTTGTAAATTCATATATTTGAGCTTAATTGTTAATCATGTCATTCCCGAACTGGTAAATTCATCAATTAATTTAGGTGGACAAGGCAATCTTTCTGTGACAGACAAGACTATTGCCAGAACTGAAGTAAAGCATTCATATTGTACCTCACCTACTAGCTTATTGGATTCTCATGCTTTGAAGAAGAGAAACCTTCAAGATTCTTTAGGTTTCTTTCTTACCTGTAATTTTCTCTTCGAAACAAATCATTATGGATGTTGTCTGATTGGGGATATGACCATACAGGTACTGCACCATTTGAACAACGTAAGGTCATGAAATTTACGAGTCAGGTGATCGAAATAACAACATGGGTGAAGGAGGCATTCCCTTTTCCTTTTCTTTTTTTGAGTATTAGGTCCAGTGAGGTATTTGATTTACATAGAAAACACTTTTCCTCCTTTCATTTTATAAACATTGCTAAGAAAATCAAATATTGAGGTATTTGAAATCTCTGATTGCTCATATCCATATTGCACAGTATTTCTCTTTTAGTTCCCGATTATTGATGTACTGCATCCTGCTTTTATGAGAATGGACATTGGTTGTTTGGTTTGTAATAAACTTATAACTTGATTATTTGTTCTTCTTTATATCTGATGGCGTTTATGTTGGCCTCATCTGTTGTGTAACTAAACCTCAGGTCGATTCCTGATATGAGTGATTGGATACATTAAGGGAGGTTTTCACCTGTTTTGAATTTGGAAACTTTTCTGATATGATCTCTTTTTACTTGCAGGGTGCTAGCACATGGTTCAAGGAACAGGTCAGTTTCCTGTTCCCATTGTTATATTTAAGCGGAAGTGTTGCTTTCAGTATGAGAGAAAATGTGTAAGTTGTTTGGAAAGGTGCTATAAGCTTAATCTGTTTAGGGAAAAGTAGAACATAGTTAATATTGTAACTCCCGGTGTAGCTTTTACGTTTACTTATAATTGGTTAGTTGGGAAGGAGAGAAGAAACACGTGTACTTCCAGGAAAAAGAGATTTTCTATTATTGGGAGTCTCCAAAGTAATGGATGCCTGCATTTGTGCTGGTAACCTTGCAACTCACACTTGTCCTCCTCAATAATGAATTCCTGCATTTGTAGGACTAGGTCACCTTTCTTGAAGACTGCTCTTAGTATCCAGAAAGAGAACTCTATTCCCTAGAATTATAAGTAAGAAGGAATATCTTATTTTTCTTTTGAGTTTTCGCTTTTCATGTTCTATTTGACATCTGCAATATAGAACATGGACTCCTTTCATCTCTTATTAGTCTTTGATAAGGGTATTGCTTGGTGATACAATGGCCCCTTCATACAAGAGTTATTGCTGTATGCAAAATTTTGAAAGAATAACTAAAATTGAGTATTTGAAGTATGAAATTCATACGTAACTACTCTACGGAATGCCATTAGGAAGTCTATTTCCATAAAAAAAAAATTGAAATAAGAAGTCTTACAAGTTAGAGCTTTTACGTTATCACAAAAAAGGCAAATTAGAGCATTTATATATAGTCAATTATCTATGCAAATCTTAGTATCCAGCTGCAGAAGTCAATTATCAAACAAATATAGCTTACTAGCAAAGCTTGAGCTGTTCAAAGTTTTTACGTTTTTCTTTAGTAGTATTCATGGATTTTGATAAGAACTTGACTGCAATGTCTGTAACGCAATAATCTGCTTCTGGGAAGGGACTGTATTTGTTACCGGTGATGGGTGCTTGTTTTCCTGTAGACCACATTGTTTATGACTTCGTGCTCGATTCTCTTCATATTTTCCTTTTAATTCCCATAAATATACCATCTAGCAGGTACTATCATAAAATCAAGTTAAAGGAGTGGTTGGCAAAAAAAACAAAATTCTTAGATGCTTGTTATATTACTTTACTAGTGGCAGTTGTTGGAAATAAACCCCCACAGAAATAATATTCACGGTAATAAAAGCGGAATATTAACGTAGCACCGAGATACGGTAATTAACAAGTATAAAAGAGTGACAACGACACCAAGATTTTTACGTGGAAAACCTTTTTGAATAAGGGAAAAAACCACGGCCCCGAGATGAGCAACTGATATCATTATAGCAAGGAATTTTACACTTTGTAGGTCCGAGTAAAATACTCCAAAGACCACTACGACACTCAAAGAAATAACCCTCTTTTGATATTCCACCTCACTACAATATTGTTCACTCTCTATTTTTCTCACAGACTATTTTCTTATACCTTGTCTGTGAAACCTCACTCTTATTCTCTCTCTTTGTTGGTGTGTAGAAATCAGAGTTGAAGCTCTCCTTTTATAGTCGAAGCCTCACTCTCTAAAGCCCACTATATTTGACAATTTGCACACACTTTTCCTTCTTTTTCTTCAATGTAGACAATTCAACAAAGTTGACTACCAAATCAAAGAAATTCAACAAAGTTGGCTACCAAACCAAAGAAATTTTCCTTAGGCATGTGTCTATTACTTTGGATTTTGAATGAGATGGACCCTATCAATCTCCCCCTCCAGTATCATTCATCTAGAGGAAGTAACACTTTCTTCTAGTTTGAGTGCACGCCGACAAGTTCTTTTTATAGCTCGAACTTGTCTTTTGGTACCACCTTGGTCAGCATATCTGCGGGATTCTCACTTGTAGAAATCTTCAAGACTTTTAGAGATTCATTCTCTACCATTTCTCGAATCCAATGATATCTCACGTCGATGCGTTTGGTCCTTGCATGGTACATGGAGTTCTTGCTAAGGTCTTTTGCACTTTGACTGTCACAATAGACGACATACTCCTTCTGATACAATCCAAACTCTTGAAGGAACCGTTTCAACCATATCATCTCCTTGCCAGCTTTAGTAGCGGCAATATACTCCGCTTCAGTTGTAGAGAGTGCGACACACTTCTGCAACTTCGACTGCCACGATATATCTCCCCTTGAAAATGTGAACAAATATCCAATAGTGGATTTTCTGTTATCAATGTCACCTGCCATATCAGCATCTGTATAGCCCTTCAAGATTGGATCAGATCCTCCAAAGCACAAACAATCTCCCGTGGTACCTCTCAGGTACCTGAGTATCCACTTGACTGCTTCCCATTTTCAAGGAATCTGCTAACCACACCAACTGCATGAGCAATATCAGGTCTGGTGCATACCATTGCATACATCAAGCTTCCGACTGCTGAAGAATAAGGAACTCTAGCCATGTTCCATTTCTCCTCCACTGTTGTAGGACGTATCTTCTTGCTCAACATTAGATGACTAGAAAGAGGTGTGCTGACTGGCTTAACATTCTTCATGTTGAAGCGTTCCAGTACACGTTCAATGTACTTCTCCTGAGACAACTACAACTTTCTACTTGTTCGCTCTCGAACTATCTTCATACCCAGAATTTGTTGGGTTGGGCCCAAGTCCTTCATATCAAATGACTTGGACAAATCTCCCTTCAACTTTGCGATCAGCCCCTTATTTTTTCTTACAAATAATTTGTCATCCATATACAACTATAAAATAATAAAGTTGTTGTCAGAAAATCTTTTGAAGTATACACATGGATCAAAATGCCTTTGTGTAAGTTTGACTTTTCATGAATGAGTCAAACTTCTTGTACCACATTGCCTCGGTGCCTGCTTCAATCCATAAAGACTCTTATTCAATTTGCATACCATGTGTTTGTTTTCATCTATTTCAAATCCTTCTAGCTGCTCTATATAAATCTCCTCTTCCAAAATTGCATGAAGAAATGCAGTTTTCACATCCAACTACTCCACTTTAAGATCTAGGCTAGCTGCTAAGCTCAAAATTGTTCGAATAGAAGTCATTTTGACAACATGTGAGAAAATTTCGTCAAAATCAATACATTTTTTTTGTTCAAAGCCTTTAACCACCAATCGAGCTTTGTATCTGACCAGGTTGCCATTTCCATCTTTCTTGAGTTTAAAGACCCACTTACATTTGAGTGGTCTTTTACCCTTTGGAAGTTCAACCAGCTTGTATGTGCCATTTTTCTGTAGAGATTCCATATCTTCTTGCATGACTTTCATCCACTGGTTCTTTTCTGGATGGGACAACACCTCCTTAAGATTTTCTCGCTCCCCTTCATCACTGATGAGGACATACTCTGTGGAAGGGTACCTGCATGACTGTACCATTGGCCTTTCTGATCTCCTCAAAGGTAGAGGTTGTTCTTTTCCGTGAGTGGGGTGCTCCACTTGCTCGACATTATCATCAAGTTGCTCTCCCTTCTCAATAACCTCACCAGGTTTTTCACCCTGCTCGGCAACCTTGTCGGTCTTACTTTTTGCATTTGTGGGGTTGTTAGAAGTAGAAGGAATAGTAACAACGTTAGGAATTATACCATTCTTGGCCTTCTCTGGCATATCATCATCAGTTCCAACTTCACTTTCTCGGAAGACTACATCTCTACTTCTGATGACCTTCTTCTTTACAGGATCCCACAATCTGTATCCGAACTCTTCATCTCCATATCCGATGAATGTGTAGGGAACAGATTTATCATCTAGCTTTGTTCTCTGCTCCTTTGGTACATGCGCAAAAGCTCTGCAACCGAACATCTTCAGATGCGAGTAGGACACCTCCTTGTTGGTCCAAACTCTCTCTGGGATGTCAAACGCCAAGGGAACTGATGGACTCCTATTGATCAGGTAACAGGCTGTCTGAACTGCTTCACCCCAGAATGACTTAGGCAGTTTAGCCATTCTGAGCATGCTTCTCACCTTCTCCACTATGGTGCGGTTCATCCTTTCGGCTACGCCATTGTGCTGTGGGGTTTCACGAACTATCTTTTCATGTCTGATCCCATGGCTCGAACAGTACTCTTCAAATTCTCTTGAAGTGTACTCACATCCATTGTCACTTCGGAGACGCTTTAGCTTTTGGCCTGTCTCCCTTTCCACCATAGCAAGAAACTTCTGGAAAACTTGAAACACCTCATCTTTGGTTTTCAAAATATAAACCCACAATTTTCGTGAAGCATCATCAATAAAAGTAACAAAATATTTGTTACCGCCCATCGATTCAATTTTCATTGGATCACAAACATCAAAATATACCTAATCAAGTATATTCAATTTTCTTTCAGACGATGTCTGAAATGAGACTCTATGTTGCTTACAAAACAAACAATAGTCACAAGGTTTTACCGTTGTACCTTTGGCATAAGAAATGAGTGATTTCCTGGCAAGAATCTGCAATCCCTTCTCGCTCATATGACCCATTCTTTTGTGCACAAATCTACAGAAATCTCATCTTGTGCCGCGTTCAATTCACCTTGGCATATTTCTGCATTTGTCCTGTACAACGTGCCACGAGCAACTCCCTTTGCAATCACCAATGATCCCTTGGTGAGTCTCCACTTTTGATTTGCAAAATAGTTCTCGTATCCATCTCGGTCAAAAGCAATTCCCGAGATCAAGTTCATCCGTAAATCAGGTACATGTCGCACGTCCTTTAGAACCAATGTGTATCCGACATTTTTCTTGATACAGATTTCACCAATCCCCGCAATCTTTGAGTAACTTGTGTTACCCATTCTCACACTGCCGAAATTACCTGCTACATATCTGTAAAAAATATCTCTTACCGGTGTGGCATGGTAAGATATTGTATCAACCACTCATTCTGACTCTGGACCGGACAAGTGCATGCATTCCTCATCCTCATTTATAAAGAGGACAACATTATCATTGTTTTGCACCATGGCGGCTGTGTTGTCGTCATTTTTCTGGCCACTGCTTTCACCTTTGCCCTTCCTTGGATTTGGGCAATCTCTTTTGAAGTGACCTAGTTGATCACAATTGTAGCAATTCCTGGCTCTTGATTTGGATCAGTTCTTAGACTTCCCACGAGCTCCAGATCTACCATAGTTGCTCTAACTCCTTTGATAACTCCTGCCTCTACCTACTGTGATGAGAGCTTGTCCTTGATTTTCAGGCTTCTTTCTCATCTTCCATCGAGTAGAAGAGCCGATGTGAAATATTTCAACTCAATAGTAGTCTTACCGTGCAGGATGATTGTTGCCAAATTATCGTACGAAGATGTCAATGAGTTCAACAACAAGATGGCTTTATCTTCTTCCTCGATTTTCACTCCGAGANTAGTAGTCTTACCGTGCAGGATGGTTGTTGCCAAATTATCGTACGAAGATGGCAATGAGTTCAATAGCAAGATGGCTTTATCTTCTTCCTCGATTTTCACTCCGAGATTGGCAAGCTGTGTGATTAGTTCGTTAAACACATTTAAATGTGACAAAAAATTCGTACCTTCACCCATGTGTATGGCGTATAGCTGCTTCTTCGGGTACAATATTTGTCAGTGTTTTGGACATGTATAGGCTTTCCAACCTTGTCCAAATGCCATATGCGGTGTCTTCATCAATGATGTTATTTACCACATCATCTGATAAGTGCAACTTGATTGCACAAGCAGCCCTTTCATCCAAGTCAGCCCAATCCTCAGCTTTCATGGTATCATGCTTTTTGGCATCAGCATCTAGTACCTTGTGTAATCCTTGTTGGATGAATAGATCTCTCATCCTTCTTTGCCATGTTGAGAAATTGTTATCTACGTTGAATTTTGCTACCTCGTACTTTACTCTCGACATTTTTTCTTTTCACCGAGTATAATACTACCGACAGTGAATAGTACTTTTGTGAGCAAGCAGAACCTGTGCTCTAATATCAGTTGTTGGGAATAAACCTCTTACAGAAATAATATTCACGATAATAAAAGCGGAATAATAACATAGCACCGAGATACGGTAATTAACAAGTATAAAAGAGTGACAACGACGCCCAATCACTTAAATTGTTTCATGTGAAAGAATATGAGTTTCTTTAACAACTCAACTCATATCCTTTATAAAGAAAAGAACCCCTTTCTCTCTTCTTTGATTTTAGTTCCAAGAGCCTTTTGTTTGACCTCTTTCATATGGGAGGTGGCTTCTTTTCTCTATAACATTTACAATGGGCTTTATGTTCTTGGATGGTCAAATGCTAATGAGATCTTGGAGGCATAATAAGGAAAATGTTACTGGTCACTGGGTCCTTGCTTTCCTTGTGACCACATTATTCTCGATTTCGTGCTCCACTCCCTTCATATCTTCCTTTTTGTCAATACCAATGTGGCTGTGGCAGGTTCTATCATAAAATCAACAAAATGCCCTTGAACTATATTAAATAGCTCAAAAGTTCCCTCAGTTTATTTTTGGTACCAAAAATATCCATGTCGTCTATATTTTGGTCCACAAATGCCCTTAAACTGTTACTCTTGTCATTGAATGTGACATGACAGTCCAAGTAGGTTAGATTTGCCTACATGGCCATCCACCTAAACAATTCAACATGGCAAAATTATTTTAAAAAAATACAAAATCAACACTTATTCCGAAAAAAGTAAAACAATATTTTTTCGAAAAATTATTTTTCCGATTTTTTTTTTAAATACAAAATCTATTTCGGAAATATATTTTTTCCGGAATTTTTTTTACTTTTATCGGAATAAGTGTTGATTTTGAATTTTAATAAAATTTTTCGAAATAAATAATTTTTCCGAAAAAATATATAGCGGTTTAAGGGCATTTGGACCACAAAATCAACACCTATTCCGAAAAAGTAAACAAAATCCCGGAAAAATTATTTATTTCGAAAATTTTTATTAAAATACAAAATCAACACTTATCTCGAAAAAAGTAAAAAAATTCCGGAAAATTATTTTTTTGGAAAATTATTTTTCCGGAATTTTTTTTATATTTTTTCGGAATACGTGTTGATTTTGTATTTTTTTTTAAATTCCGAAAAATATTTTTTCCGGAAAATTATTTTTTCGGAAAATTATTTTTCCAGAATTGTTTTTACTTTTTTCTGAATAAGTGTTGATTTTGTATTTTTAAAAAAAATCCGAAAAAGTAATTTTTTTGAAAAAATAATTTTGTCATGTTGGATTGCTTAGGTGGATGGCCATGTAAGCAAATCTAACCCAGTTGGACTGTCATGTCACCTTCAATGACAAAACTAACAGTTTAAGGGCATTTGTGGTCCAAAATATAGACGGCAAAGATATTTTTGGTACCAAAAACAAACGGAGGGCATTTTTGAGCTATTTCAGATAGTTCAAGGGCATTTTTGGCCATTTTCCGTAAAATCAAGTTAAAAGAGTGGTTTGGTAAAAAATGTCTTAGGTACCTAATGTCTTACACTCTTAGGGGTCGTTTGGTAGGGTGTATAAGAATAGTGCAGAATACAGTGTATTAGTAATGTAGGGGTTAGTAATGCAAGCATTAGTTATGCAGATATTATTTCTTATAAACTGTGTGATGTGGTGTATTAAAAATTATAATGCATTGCATAATTTTTAAGAAAAATAGTTGTTTACAAAAATGCCCTCCATATTCTCTAGTTTTAAGGGACTTTAAGGACAATTTTATCTTTAACCATACTAATGCATGCATTAATAGCCTTGGTATTACTAATGTCATGGTTTTCTATGCATTACTATACATAGGCTAATACCAAGTATAATGTATAACTAATGCAAGTATTAGTTATACTTAGGTTGAAAAAATGTACCAAACAAGGTATTAGTAATGCACAAAGCTAATGTTTGCATTATTTTTCTAATACCTCCTACCAAACGACCCCTTACTCACTGCACATATCCACCTTAGAAGATAATTCCTCCTTCTGGTTTAATCTTTAATTCTGTGATATTTTTCTTGGGCCTCTTTCATTTGGGAGGTGGGCTTTCTTATCAGAAACATTTACATGAGCCTTATTATTCTTGGATGATTTAATGCTAGTGACATCCAGGCATAATAAGGCACAATGAATCCTCTCCTGTGCTTCAATTGAGAATGTTTGTATTCTATTGGTCGGTGTGGGGGAAGACATGGTCAAATGTGTCTTTTTAGATATGTCAATTGGTTTTTTGGCCTTGTACAAACTTGTTTTTAGTTTTATGACTCTATCTTCTTCTTTTTTTTTTATTGTAAAAGGCGCCTAAAACCTCATATTAAGATTTATGGAACTTTTCTTTTGCAAAGTGCTAGTGCCTCTTTGGAATATCTGATATGATTGCAAATGTTAGATACCTGAAAACCACTTCATGTTCTTCCTGTATCAGTGGTGGGCCTTTTCGCTCCACCAGGAGTCAAGTGGTTAGTGGGTCAATATTTGGACCCATTCTGAACTCAGAAGAAATTTGAAAGCCGTATTTTGGAATCTGTTACATATTGTTGACGCTCTACTTGGGAAAACCTCAGGTGCTACATGAATCTGGTGCCTCTGTAGATCTCTCTCCTATATTGAGTGGGAGAAGAGTTGGAGAGAGTTTTTGAAGTTTCTTTTTTTTTTTCCCACTTAACTTTTTGAAACTCTGAGAAGTATTTTCTTGAAAAAAAATGATGCAGAAGTTAAGGTTACTTCTGTTAACCTCTCTTTATTGTTGTTATATTATGTTAATTTCTTTTCACAGAAGTAATTGTACTCTTTAATTCTTGTTTAACTCCCTTCAACTTCTCCTCACCGGGCAAAGTAAGCCAACGTGGGCAATCCAATTTTGACTTGATTAGATTAACCAACACTTGGAACCGTTATTTTTGAATATTACTACTACATTTTGTTGGTTTAGTTGGGTGTTAGACTGTGGAAGCATTCTACTCTATACTGGACGAAGTATAGGAGTAGACATTGTACCGTCACCTATGTTTAGGCTGTTATGTGGTCATTTTGGATAGGGAAGAGAAAAAGGGTACTCTAAAGAATAAAAAACCTTTAAATCATGCTCTTATGTGTAGTTCCATGTGGCATTTTTAGTTTCATTTTACAATGAACTTTTGAATAGCTGCTCAGGGAGGAGGCAATTATTTGCTGTTTTCCTCATTTCCTTTTTGTCTTTGACTACTTTGCCAAGTGCTCCTTTCGATTCTCTCAACTTTACCGGGACTTCCTCGAAGTGCTGCTTCTATTCTCATGAATCTGTATACATTGATATTTTTTAGCCTAAAAGCAGTTATTTACTCTATATGTTGTGATTTACATATGCTATTTTGTTCCATCCAGCCATGGAATGAAAGACTCCACGTAGCTCAAGAGCGAGGCACACTTGTGTTGCTTGAGAATCTTGATCCTTCATATACATCAGCAGAAGTGGAGGTACATACAATGGATTTGTAGTCTATTTTCAAGTTTACTATGTGCTTTATTTTGCCCATTTGAGTAATGAAAAATGAAATATAAATGTTTCTTTAGGTGTCACTCTTACGTTAATTCATTATTTAGACATTCATATATTTTCATTTTTTTATTCGGGAGTATTGTTTCTAAAGCTCTTGTAAGTCCAGATGTATGCGGTAAATGCTTGTGTTCCCTTTTCTTTCTATTTTCTTCTTTATTTTTGGATGAAAATATAAATTTTACCTGAATTACATTTCTTGTATTCTACATGAACTTTTCTTTTAAATTATTGCTATTCCTTTGGAAAATTTCATGAGCAAACTTTTGAATATCCTTGCATCAACTTAGGTTAACCAAGATTACTGCATCTAGCTTCAGATTTGTTATACAAATTTGTTTCACTTAACTTTGTTTTGCCAGCCCTTTAGCACATGTTAATTTTCATCTTCAAGCCACTATCGTTAGTGAGTCTATTAGTGGGGAGGGTAGTCTTATCCCTAAAATAACATAGTGAACCACGGGTCTGTCAAAAGAGGAAAAAAAGTGAAAAGCTTGGAAAATGAAATTATAACATTACGGAATTATTCAGATATTTTATTTAAGTTGATATTTACTTGAGCTCAGTAGACTTTGAAGCTTGTTTGGACCGGAGAAGTTTACTTTCTCCTTTTAAAAAATTATTATTTTGGTGGGTTAACGCATAGGTTAAGCTTCTGAGGATTATTAGCTTGTTTGACTAAGTTTTTGGGAAGCCAAAAGTGATTTTTTAAATGCTTATTTTTTTAAGAAGTGCTTATTGTAGAGAGTTAAGTGTTTGGCCAAGCTTTTAGGAGAAAAAAGTGATTTACAGTAGTAACATAAACTGTTTTTCAGAAGTTGAAAAAAGTAGTTTTTTCATGAAGCACTTTTGGAACTTTGGCCAAGCACAAATTGTTGCGATAATATTGGCAAAATAATTTTCAAGTTAATTAGTCAAATATAAATTGCTACTCTCCAAATACTTTTTGAAACACACTTGTGACAGAGCACTTTTCAAAATAAGTAAATTTTGGAAGTTTGGCCGAACAAGCTAATATGAGTAGTAGTAGAAGCAATTTTTTTTTATTGTTGCAGAAAGCAGTAATTTGTAGTTTCCTTGAAGCTAATTTTTTTTTCATGATAAAAAATACCCTTATCAAAAATTCCCTCCTTAATTTTATCGATATGTCTCTCACACTCTCGTTTCTTGCATGTCTCTGAGATCAAATTGAAAAACTTAATTATATTCTCTCATAATTAATATTTAAGATCATTAATTTATTTAAATAATACTCCTTTTGTTCTATTTAATGTGACACTACTTCCTTATTCGTCTGTTCCAAAAAGAATGATATATTTCTATATTAGGAAATCATTTAACTTTAAACTTTCCTTTTATCCTTAATCAACAACAACAACATACCCAGTATTATCCCACACTGTGGGGTTTGGGGAGGGTAGTGTGTACGCAGACCTTATCCCTACCTTGTGAGGATAGAGATGATGTTTTCAATAGACCCTCGGCTCAGTAAAGCATAAGCACTACATTAATGAAAATATAGACAAGAAGGGACAGTACCAAGAACCATATAAAAACAGAATAAAAACAACAAGATAGTAAGGTGATTAACAATGAAAGAAAACAACGGTTAGTCATAAAAACATACTACCAACAGAAAGCGAGACTGCGTGCCAATACTACTGTTATGAACACTCTAAACTACCTACTCTACTACCTTGTCAAAAATAACCTCATTTCTGATACTATCTAACCTGGTGTGCCCGCACATCCATCTCAACATCCTCATCTTTGCTACCTTCATCTTTTGGACATGAGCGAACTTGAGTGGCCAACACTCAACCCCATACAACATCGTTGGTCTGACCACCACTCTGTAGAACTTGCCCTTAAGTTTCGGTGGCACTTTCTTGTCACACAAAACACCGGAAGCGAGTCTCCATTTCATCCATCCTGCCCCAATACGATGTGTGACATATTCATCAATCTTCTCATCCCCTGAATAATAGACCCAAGGCACTTCCTCTTAGGGATGACGTGCGAGTCCAGCCTCACCTCTCCTTCCCCTCCTTGAGTCTCGCCACTGAACTTACATTCTAAGGATTCTGTCTTGGTCCTGCTCAATTTGAAACCTTTAGATTGTAGGGTCTGCCTCTATACCTCTAATTGCGCGTTGACATCGTCTCGCGTCTAGTCAATCAATACAATATCATCTGCAAATAACATGCACTACGACACCTCCCCTTGGATGTGGCGCCTGCTCAACTTGAAATCTTTAGATTCTAGGGTATGCCTCTATACCTCTAATTGTGCGTTGACACCTTCTCGCGTTTCGTCAATCAATACAATATCATCTGCAAATAACATGCACTACGACACCTCCTCTTGGATGTGGCGTGTCAGTACGTCCATCGCCAGAGCAAATAAAAAAGAGTTGAGTGTCGACCCCTGATACAACCCCATCATAACCGGAAAATTGTCCGAGTCCCCACCCATTGTCCTCACTCAGGTCTTTACTCCATCATACATGTCCTTAATCAACCTAACGTAGGCAACATGTACAGATCTAGCCTCCAAACATCTCCACAAAACCTCCTTTTATCCTTAATGAGAAGCCTTTATAGCCACACTATGTTTAAGATTATAAGTTCCAAAAGATTTATAGCCACACAAATATTATGACATATTTAAACCTAGGTTTCAAAAAATCTTTAGTTCTTTTAAAATCCCGTATCGAGTTAAACTACGTCAGATAAATTTGAACAGAGGAAATTCTAATTTTAAAGTGAATCTTTACATGTAATTTGACAACTGAAAATACTCTTTGGAATGATTGGTCAAAAGTGTTTGTCAAATTGATTTGGCCAAATACAAATTGCTAATCTTTTAAAATGCTTCTGAAACGCTCTGAAATTTGCTACTCATCAACTGCCCTCTAGGATATTGTCTGGCATGCCTTGGAGCAAAAGGTTAGTGCAAAAATGGTGCAACATAATACCTTCTCAAATCCACTGAATGGTAGGCCATCGTGTATCTTCTTCTTTAAGTCGTGGAGCGAAAAAAAAAAAATCTCAGCGAACTCGATGTTTCTTATTAGAATGAACACTTGCAGGGAAAGCATTTGTTATCTTCAAATCAAGTGAGGGTGCAGAGACTGCCATTTCTAAATTGAAAAGGAGATGCCTTATGTTAGGTGATGGAAGGTACTAGATCAATTTAGCAAGTTTTGTATAACTTGTGCTTGTCTTGTTGATTAGATGTTTTTATGCACTGTTTCTACATACATCTTGCTAGTTGGCATCTGTTTCTTGACAAACTATGCTATGGTCATGGTCTTCAAAGCCCTTGATGACATGAGGTTGATGATATAATAAATGTAGTGTTTTAAAGGGCACGGGCGTGAGGTAAGGCGTAAGCCTCGACAGAGCATAAATCCCATGGAGTTTTTATTTTTTAACATTTTATAAATTAATAAAATAAGCATATAAATCACAAAACATGTAAAAAAAATCAAAAATATTGTAAAATTAGTGAAATGTATGTATATAAACATGTTAATATGTGCACGAACTTTAAAAAAAAAAAAAAAATTCATACTTGGAAAAGTGAAAGACGCCTCTCTACCTTCTCAAGGTAGGGGTGAGGTCTGCATACACATTATCCTCCTCCTCCGATCCCACATATGGGATTACACTTGGCTTCTTATTGTTGTTGTTGTTGACTTGGAAAAGTGAAAGACGATAAGATGCATTAAACATACTTGAAGTTGTAAAATGATAGTTCCTAATAGAAAAGTTACATATGAAATATAGAAAAGTTACCAGTTTCAAAAAAAAAAATGATAGTTCCTAATGATTTTAAAAAAATGACAATAATATAAAGATTGTGTTAATACCTAAAGCCAGAAAAAAATCACAAATACTCATCACAACACAGATAGAACATCTTTTGAATAAAGTCTCCATAGCAATATCTAAAACTAGAGTAATACCACATGGAATTCCAAAATAAAACTAACTTGAAAAGAATAAAAAGAGAATGAATAAGAACTTGGAAGACAAGCGTGGAATTAGAGCAAATGTTGGAGGACAAAGCTTTTGCTTTGTAATTTGCACTTTGTAGACAAAGAGAGAATTATGAAATCAGGGCTAACAATTAAAAGAGACCTTTAACTTTTGAGTTATTTTAGTTTGAGAATTTAAAATTAGCTAATTTCTTAGTATTATAAGTATTAAAAAAAGAAAATTTTAAGCAATTTTGATTCCAATTTGGGAAAGATTTTTGGACTTACGCCCCAAATAAACGCCCGAAAGGTTGGGAATTGTGCCCACAATTGCGCCTCATCAATCCACCTCAATATGTTTTTAGCTAGCCTCGCCTAGAAAATGCTTTTTGAAACATTTGATAAATTAGTAATATCATGGAGTCTGGAGTTCAATTATGATGGTGTAATTTTAACTTTGTTCCAACTTTGTTCATACATGTTATTTATACTTAACCATCTCATGGAATTGGGTTTTGTGATTTATAATTGTTAAGTGTGACAATCTCATCTAAAAGTTTAACCTGTTAGAGAGCACACTTTTAATTACTTAATTAAGTCTTCAACATGTCCACTCATGTGCGGGCTTGATTCTTTTTCATGAGCCAAATACTTGAAAATTCTTGGTTCAGTTGTTACTTGTGCTTCTTATTGGCAACATTTATTTGAAATTTATCTTGGATTTAGGAACTTTTGTGATTACACTTTTATTGGAAATAGTGAATGAAACGTGAAAAATAATTGCGTTGAGGGAGATGATGTCACCATTGTTTATGTTATTGTTAAGGCCAGTTGTTGCTCGGAGAGGAAGTATAGAGGAGCAAGTGAAATGTAGTGGCCTTCCTGGCCATCTATCCATTGGTAGAATCAAATTTCAAAAGCTAGGAGAAGAAATGGTACGCATTTCACTGCACAAATAGCCTCATTTCCCTTAATTTGCGATATGATGATCCAATTTGATAGTTCAATTTCTCTTGTAAAGAGAAAAGCAGTATCAACATCACACCACTCTCAGAGTAACACAATCGAACATGAGATGGCCGTCGAATGGCGTGTACTACAGGAAAAGTCGAGCCTTTGGTGGAAAGCTTTACATGAGGTGATTATGAAGAGCTTATTTTTTATGTTTCCTCTTCTGCTTTTTGTTTTCTCCAAATCATTGATGACGGGGGCGAATCCAAGATGTTGTTAGGAGTGTTCTATATATATATATTTGACATTGTATAATTTTTTAGGTGAGAGTGTTCCCTTCCGCCTATATACCTCCTCCCCTGCTTGCCTGCCATTTGCCGGTCCTTTCTAAGTTTATCCACTTTTCTTGTTGCAAGAAACAAGCAGCAGAGATTGAACTACTTAGGAGCAAGTTGAAGACCCCTATTTGGAACTAAGCCTGTATAGGATCTAAACGTAAGTTTAATCCACTTTTCACCTTTTTAGTCTTTTTTACCTTTGCCGTGATTATTCTTTTTCTCGTCCTTGTAGTGTTGTTAAGTTTCACCTAAGAGGATTGGCATCATTTCTTTTCCACAAGGACTCTTTTTGTTGGTTTCCTTGTGTACAAGAGGTATACACAGAGGGTGTCCCCCTTTTTGGATATGGGGTTGCACCTAAGCATAGAGAAGTACAGAGATTACAGATTAGTATTATCTGATGATAGAATGCAATTCTTTTTGTGCAGCACAATACTGCATCTTTTGTAGTACACTGTATTGCTGTGAATTCGAAAGTTGTAAGCAGTTAGCTATAGGAAATTGGTGCGGTTTGACTTTCTTCCCACATCATAACAACCAGATGTTTTTATTCAAAATCCAACATTAAGGCATTAATCATATATCTATAATCTACTTACGAAAAAAACATATATCTACTTAATTTAAGTGAATAGCATCTCGTATGGCTGCGTAAATGCAAAAAATAAGTTGACAGCATCGCATGTTTAAAACTCAAATGATAAGCCAGCTTGTGTTCACGAGGAATCTCTTGCGGGGTAAAATGTATGAGGAATTTTCAAAAATCACTATTGTTTATTGGTTATTAACTTTCTATAGGTATCATATACGGAATTACTTTCTATAGCTACAATTTAATTGTTACGGTAGTGTATTCGTTGTATTCGAACTAATATATTCATGAATACATTAGCAAAAAATGCTTAAAATCAGGGAAGTCCAGCTGTACGCGCATGTATTCACATGTATTCGCGTATGCCCAGGTATTCGCGTCATGTATTCATGAATACAGTAACGGTAATCACCTTAAAAATAGGTATACCCAGCTGTCTAATAACGGAAATAATATCAATTAATGTGATGCACTCCTAATATAACTCAACAAAATCAATTCTAACATGCCTCATTATCAACTCAATTAATTAGAATGATTTTTCAGTTGTATATAACTGTTGTATTTAATTTTTGTATTTAGTGTGTTTCAATATTTTTTTTACCGTTGCATTCATAATATTCAATGTTTGTATTTACTGTATTAGTTATTTTATATTCAGTGTATTCAAATGAATTTGTATTAACAATATTTTAGTTATTCCTAATATATGTTATTACTATTGTATTCAGTATATTTCATTGGTTGTATTCATTGTATTTCTATTTGTATTCAGTGCATTTTACTGTATTTCATTGTATTTTAAAATTAAATGTATTCACTATTTATATTTTGTTCTATTTTAATATTTGTATTCAATGTATTTCAATGTTTATATCTTGTATTCATGCATGAATACATGTGTATTTAGCTTTATTAAAAAAATATAAATCTTCAAAATACATAAATACATGCAAAAATTAATATATTTATACAAAAATACAATGTATTTGAGTGAATTTGTACAGAATACAATGTGTTTGTATCATTGTATGTGATTAAATAGCAAAGAAGGGAAGAAATTTCATCGGAGATGGCATTTTCCGGCCAAGCAAAATATTGTATACATTGTATTAAAACTAAAAATGGAGACGAACAAAAATTCTGGCTCTCAAATCTTCTCCGGCATAAAAAATATTGCAATATCTATGTAGAGAAATCCATTATAATATTCAGCGTAGAAGAAAGTCACAGTCTCTTTCTTTCGAATATTGCAATACAAATTCATTGCAAATATCTGGCGTAGAAACTAAGCAGTACAAATCCATTGCAATATCCGACGTATAAACTAAGGAGGTATTTTGCTCGAAGAGAGGAGGAAGAGAGAGAGAAAGAAGAAAAATTTTGTTGGGATTTTGAGAGAGAATCGTGTGTTAATTGAAAGAAAGAGAGAAAGAAGAAAAAATGTGGGAGAGAATCTTGTGTTAATTGAAAGAAAGAGAGAAAAACATAAATAGCATATTTCATACCTCAATGGTAGTATTGAAAGAAAGAGAGAGGAAAAACATAAATAACATATTTCATACCTCAATGGTAGTATATACCATAAATACTTATTTTGCTATAAAATATAAAAGATAGCTATAGAAAATAATTTTTAAAAATAATTTTGATTTATAATAAATATGGTATACATCTTTGCTATATGAGGTAAAATTTCCTAAAATGTACCTCATTTGAATATAGGTAGTTTTAGAAAACTTTGAACTCCCCGTGTTTTTTCAATGTGATAGTATTTTTACCTTTAAATTGACTTTGACCAAAGTCTTTTCTATAAAAACTCCAAATGTGGACGAAAAGCTTTGGATGAAAAAAAATAGGAAATTTTACCTCCAATAGCAAAGGTATACACTCTATTTATTATAAATCAAAATTATTTTAAAATATTATTTTTTATAATTACCTTTTATGTTTTATAGCAAAATAAGTATTTATGGTATATACTACTATTGAGGTATGAAATACATCTTTCCTATCTCTTAGACACCTGGGCATACCTATTTTTAAGGTGATTGGCGTTACTGTATTCATGAATACATGGCGCGAATACGTGTGATGTAACGACTCAGCCGGTCATTTTGAGAGTAATAGCCTTGATCCCCTATTTACTGCTTCTCCCATATCTATTTCTGCTACTGTGACTTGCCGGGAGGTTTCGTTTTGATTTTTGGAACGATTTGGGACACTTAGTCCTTAAAACGAGAGCTTAGGTCTTAGAATTTTTGACTGTAGTCGGAACTGTGTGAAGACGACTCCGGAATGGAGTTCCATCGATTTCATTAGCTCTGTTAGGTGATTTTGGAATTAGAGGCGTGTCCGGATTGTGTTTTGGAGGTTCGTAGCTCATTTAGGCTTGAAATGGCGAAAGTCGAATTTTTAGAGTTTCTAGCCGGTAATGGAATTTTTGATATCGGGGTCATTTTTCAATTCCGAAAGTTGGAGTAGGTCCGTAATGTTGAATATGACTTGTGTGAGAAATTTGGGGTCAATCGGACGTGGTTTGATAGGTTTCGGCAACGGTTGTAGAATTTTGAAGTTTCAAGTTCTTTAAGTTTGAATTGGAGGGTGATTCGTGATTTTAGCGTTGTTTGATGTGATTTGAGGGCTCGACTAAGTTTGTATGGTGTTTTAGGACTTGTTGGTATGTTTGGTCGAGGTCCCGGGGGCCTCGGGTGAGTTTCGGGTGCTTAACGGGAGAAAGTTTGGACTTAGAAGAATTTTGAAGTTGTTGGTTCTGGTGTTTTCGCACCTGCGGCCTCGCAGAAGCGAGGATGGAATCGCAGGTGCACTTTTAGGCCGGGGAGTCAGTGGTCGCATATGCGACGAGTGAGGCGCATCTGCAGAGATGAGAAGGACCCAAGGTTCCGCAGAAGCAGACGATTGAGTGCAGAAGCGCTTCCGCAGGTGCGGACTTAGGCGTGCAGGTGCGAGCTCCGGAGTTTTATGAAAACTCGTAGGTGCAGCGTCCTAGCCGCAGAAGCGGTACCGCAGGTACAGTTCTGGGCTCGCAGAAGCGAGTTCGCTGGGCAGATAAGAGAGAGTTTCGAGGGCTTGAGTCATATCTCCATTTTTGGACTTGGGAGCTCAGAAATTGCCGATTCTTTGAGGGATTTTCAGAGAGAGCTTTGGGGTAATGATTCCTAACTCGTTTTTGGTTATATTTCATTAATCTATAGTTATTTTCTCCATTTAATTTCGGTTTTGGATTGAAAAGTTGGGGAAAATGGGGGGAAAGTTCCCTAAACGAAATTCTCAGTTTTGATTGGGATTTAGACATCGGATTTGGTGATTTTGGTACGAGTGAACTCATGAGTGAACAGGCTTTCGTATTTTATGACTTTTACCCGATTCCGAGAAGTGGGGCGATTTTTGAGTTAGTTTCAGAATTTTCGTTAAAATGTTGATTTCGTTAATTAGATGAGTCTATTATTGTTGTATTTATGATACGTAATTGCTTTTGGCTAGATTTGGGCCATTCGGAGTCGGATATTCGTGGGAAAGGCATTGTGACCGATTAATTGAGCTTGACTCGAAGTAAGTAGCTTGCCTAACTTTGTGTGGGGGAAATCCCCTTAAGATTTGGAACTATTGTGATATATGAACGCCGTGTAAGTGATGTGACGAGTACGTACACGGGCTAATTGTGGTAAAACCCGATTTTCTTACTAAGTAGCAACATGTTTTCCTGTTATTTTTATTATACCATTTTAATGAGTACTAATCTATTTCCATTCTTAATTGAGTTATTCCATTATGTGTAGCTATCATGTTTAGTCTAATACAACATGTCTACGTGTCTTAATTATTTATGTGAATTCTGTGCAGCATGCTTAGTGAATTTCCTGCTTCTTCCCTGACTGGTACTTTGTCTAAATCATAAGAATTTCGTGATGTAGTTGTATTTCTTGCATATTTACTTTGGGACTACGGAACGGAATTTCGGGAGATCCCCATGTACTGCATATTTACTTTGGGATTACGGAACGAAATTTCGGGAGATCCTCATGTACTGCATATTTACTTTGGGACTACGGAATAGTATTCCGGGAGATCCCCATGTACTGCATATTTACTTTGGGACTACGGAACGGTATTCCGGGAGATCCCCATGTACTGCATATTTACTTTGGGACTACGGAACAGTAATCCGGGAGATCCCCATGTCTTGCATATTTACTTTGGGACTACGGAACGGTATTCCGGGAGATCCCTCTGCACATTTACGTTTGGGACTACGAGACGGTATCTTGGGAGATACCCTGTTGTGTTTCTGTATACTGAGTTGTCACCTTCTATAATTTCATTGTTGTTAAATTTCAGCCTTTATTTTATTACGGTATTACACTCTATATTATTTTATTATATATATTTACCAATACGGCCCTGACCTGACCTCGTCACTACTCGACCGAGGTTAGGCTTGGCACTTACTGGGTACCGATTGTGGTGTACTCATGCTACTCTCTGCATATATTTTTCGTGTGCAGATCCAGGTGCACCTTATCAACCGCACTATCAGTGAGTCGGGACAACTTTGGAGACTTCAAGGTATATTTGCCGCGTCCGCAGACCTCGGAGTCCCCTTCTACTCTTTCTTATGTCCATTATCTTCAGTATTTTCCTTGTTAGATTTTGATGTATAGAGATACAAGATTTTTCCTTCTGTAGTTTGTGATTCACGATGTTTCGGGTTTTGGGATTTGTTGTATATTTTGAATAGTTGGTTAAATTTATATTTTTATTTCATTATTCCGCAAAAATATTAGTCTTGCCTAGTTGTAGAGACTAGGTGCCGTCACGACGGCACACGGAGGGAAAATTGGGTCGTGACAAGTTGGTATCAGAGCTCTAGGTTCATAGGTGTCGTGAGTCACAAACCGGTTTAGTAGAGTCTCGCGGATCGGTACGGAGATGTCAGTACTTATCTTCGGGAGGCTATGGAATTGTTAGGAAAATTTCACTACTTTGATTCCTTGTCGTGCGAAAATTGTTGACTTCAAAGATTCTAAACTTTTGTATTCTATTCTCTCATAGATGGTGAGGACACGTACAAACGGATCTAATGAACAGGCATCCGCGCCCCCTGCTAGAGCCGCGAGAGGCCTGAGCCGGGACAGAGGCCG